TGTCACTTAAACTGCTCTGCTCAGACAGGCCATCAACTGAATGTCCATGAGACATCTTTTTTTTTTTCTTTTTATTTTATAGGCCATATACTCCAGTGGCCTGTGAACTGGCCTGTTGGAAGTCCACGGTCCCTCTTCAGTGCAAGGAGAATAGTGGCTCACCCCTGGAAAGCAGGAGGAGATAAGTCAGTGACTTTGGGCGTTTTCTGATTTGTGGATTTCTTAGCTTTCTGATGGGGATTGATGAATAGGTGCTTTTCATTTAGTGGCAATAGATTTTTTTTTTTCCTGGATACACCAGAGGACAAATTACATACTGCAACAACCACTGGCTCTGTTTCATTTTATACTTGCGCAACCTCCATGATGACTTTAGTAGGTGCGGAGGGGGAAGAGTTGCAATGAGTGTGTCCTTTAAGAGTGAATTTTCTCCTAATTTTAAAGGGGACCTGAGATGCCAACTTGCTACCTCAGGAGAGTGAAGCCCTTTACAGAGGCAGCAGATGCAGTTCAGCATTGCTCTTTCTATTGTACTTCAACTCTGACCACAGAGGAGCTAGCTCTTGGGACAGAAAGTGCTCTGTTTACACTCAGACCTTGGCATTTTTCCTAAGGATACCAATTATAATGGTGTTTTTTTTGTGATACGGGCACACATCCATTATGAATTGGCTTGCACCCACCAACTCATTTTGCACAGGCCATGGAACATGTATCAGATGGCAACGATTCCTATTCATGTGCAATGTTAAGGAAATCTAGATCATTACCAGCAGAATAATGAATTCCATAGAATTGTTCCGTTGTGCAATTATATGAAGTATGCTAAGAGAAAGTGCAGTTTCTCAATAATTCCCTCCCCTTTTTTTAAAAAAAACCCACAGGAATGATAGATTATTAATCATGATTAATACTGAGTAACTGTGAATTATAATGGAGCAATGCCTGGAAATCCCAGTCTGTTTGGTAAACTTATTTTCTTGCATAATAGGAAACTTACCTTGCATTTAAGAGACCTAAAATATAGCTTGACATAGATGGAGGTTAAAGCAATGGAACCACCCATTTAATGTAATTAAAAGAAAAATTTAATAGATACATCCATTCTTAGTCCAACACCATTGAACATTTTTTGATACTGTACAAGCGTAACAATAGGAGAAATACAATTGTGAACTTTTTAATTGTTCCCATATTTTGCTTTCTTCCTGAGAACCAAAGTCTTCTAGAGCTCTGCTGTAGCACTCCGCCTGAATCCCTAAGCAGCACTGGAGTTAAGGCAGAGTTGTGCGTTGTCTTGACATTTGGAAGACGTTGGTCATTCTGGTTGTGATTGCTTAAGAGAGTATGGATGATCAAAATGCTCTGGGAAGCAGAGGAAAGTCAACGGAGATAGTATAATATGCTCCATCCCTGTATTTGGGGGTATACATAGGCCAATTTTTGTTCACCCCATATTTGAAGGGATTCATAGTGTGCATGGACAGTAAGGCACCAGAACGACGTGGAAGGGCTGATGTTCAGTCAGAGAATTTCGTTTCCTTTGAGATAACTGGTCTTTAACCTTTTGGAAGCACCCTGAGGCCTTTCATGTTCAGTCCTCTCTGTGCAGTACAATATTCAGCAAATGCCAATTTCTGCTGTAAAGGGTTTGCATCCTAATCTGTGTTGTGTCCTGAGAACACAGTGAAAGGAGGTGAAAAGACATTTTCCTCTCAAGGATGAGACTGCTGGGTCATTTCCACGAGGAGATCCTTAGAGAGCACCCCATGGTCCCTTCCTGTGGAAGGTAGCAATATAGCTCTTCGTTATTATCTCTGTCTCTCTCTTCCCCCAACCAATCTGTCGGCGCATTTATGGTGCTGAGGAGAGGCGGCGTGTCGGAGCGATGTTCCCGTTTGCAAAATGGTAACTTCTATTTGTTGTTCTGAGGAGCTGGTTTCACACGCTGCGGAGCTGACATCTCTCTGGGAGCACAGCTGAGTCCAACATGTTCAGAACAGCCATCCACCCAAACGCCTCCTACTCAAGTGCTCAGACCTTCCTTCCCAGTAAATAAAAAATACAGAGACGGTCTTGAATTGTTCCAAATATTTCTGTTTCACTGGAATGTCTACCCCTGTTCAGATCTGATAAATGGGCATTTCTCTGGCCTAGGAAGTCAGTTTAGTGTGGGAATAGGATGGCTTTCCAAAGAGGAGACTCAGTTTCTGGAACAGTTAATGGAAAAATCTGACTGACTTGCTCTGGTGTCAGTGTATTAAAGGGTTCCTGTGTGCCATGAAAATACAGTGTTGCAAATAACAATTTTAGGACAGAAAACAAAGTCATTGTAAGCTGCTTCTTCTGCTACATTGTATGAAATAACACATTTTTCAAGGTTTCATTGCTCATATAGAAGGCCTCTGAGAATCTGCTTCCTAAACCAGGAAACCGAGTAATGTGCCATTGTACACTTTAGGCAAGAGATGTTGCTGCATTGTTTAAAACACCACTATTAACTACAACAGCAGCTCTCAATATATCGCACAGTGTGATTCAGTTCGTATTGTTGGGACATCCTGTCTAGCCATGACTATGGCTGAGACCATTGTAATTCTGTCTTTGACCTTACCCATGCCCTATAGTAGACATGACCTTGGTTTGCCAACCTATGGATTACAACATAAAAAAAAAAGCTCTTTTGAATAATGATTCCTAGGAAAAGAGTTGAAAAAAAAAAAATAATCATTGTGCCAGTAGTCTTTAATTCAGCTCCACAGCTGATGCATGGAGACCTCACTTGCCGTGGGTGATGCCAGTACAGTCAATGTGTATTACCTTGCAGGCTGAGAGCTGGAACAAGACATCCTGGCTTGCAAGACAAGTTCCCCTTCTCTGGGTCCCTCACCGGCAGCATTTTTGGGTATGCCACCCTCTGGTTTCCTCTCTTCAGCTCCTTGCAGCCATTGCACATGAAATGTCCTCTTTAGGACAACAAGAGCAAGGACCACCAATGTGCATCTTCGTTGGTACTTCTCTAAGAAATGGTATGTGGGGCAAGTTTTCTCCTTTTCTGGCTCTTAATGCTTTGGGTCAGTGTCTTTATTCATACATGCCCACTTGCCACTTTGTCGAGGACAAGCTATGGTAGAAAGTGGAATCATCCAAGCCTCTGTGGCCCGATACATTGCACTGAGAGGTTAGTTGTGAGGCTTAGCATTGGGAGATTTAAGATCAAAGATCTATGGGAAAGTGCAAAGTGGAGCATTAAAACTCAGCATTGCCCAGCCCAGGATCTGCAAAACCAGTGCCTCCTGGATGGCAGTAGTTAGTACTTTCTGGGTTTGGGTCCAGACCCAGCCAGCAGGCTAGCACAGGTGTAGCAATTAAGGACTAATGACTTTGTTCCTTTAGGTGGCTACAACTCACAATGTGACGTTGCAATTACAATAAGCAAACCTCTTTTACTCCCCACTGATGTCCTGGAAGGAGCACAGAAACAAGGTGTGCTGGGCTGCCCGCTGCATTTCTAAGGTTTGTTGTCCTTAGGTCACTAAGCTTTGCAAGATACCCGTACACAGATCATTAGCAGT